GTAGAGAAAGGAAAAGCTCACGTAAACGTCCTTAGTATGTGGTGAGCTTTTTCTGTCCGGAGGCTAAATCTGTTATTCCCCCCGTGGGATTCCCGATGTTATTGTATCCACTGCAACGCTACTACTCAACATCTGTAAATTTGTGCATTTGTTACAAATTTCTTTTTTTTTTTTTTTTTCTTAGTACCTTGCTTGGAGCAAAAGGACATTATTAGCATCAAAGGGAAATTAAAAAAGAAATCAAAACCCTTGTTTGGTCACCCCTACAGGAAATTGGGATCAGAAGCTTTGCTTCGGTTGATGCTGTTGTGGTGAACAAACAGAAGGTGGCAGACTTGGCCCACATGCACAAATAATATCTGGAAGAAAGAACGGGTGTTTTCTTATTTATTTAGGTGCAGTATTTTGAGTATTATATTATGTTTTATTTTCCATGTGCACTTTTTCTTTTAACATTTTCCTCTAATATATTAATTTACTCATAAAGATGCATATTTAAGGTTTTATGTTAAGAGTATATATTGTTTCCAGAAATGAGGCCAAACTGATACGAACATAGATGTATTTATTTAATTGTTTCTGTAAGTAGTTTTTTCTGTTTGCTTTTGAAATGCTAGTGGCTCTTGTATTTAAGCCTTTCTAATTCTTGTTTTTAAAAAAGTGACTAATTAATTCAAGCTAACTGAAGTCTGACTGCTGGTACGTTCAATAAAGTGTCTTTTACAAACCCTTTGGTGAGTTATAAGTAAACAGTTTCCACTGAGTGTTTCAGAAAGTCACAACAGGATGCTGAGACTGAATGAGGTTTTATTTCTGACCTCACTCAGAAACTTTTAGTACAAAAGAGAAAAGAGCTGTACAAGGGTTAAATTCATTGAGATGTAACTTATTTTCTTTTGCTACTCTGTGATAACTCTAAAACCAAACAAAGACTTTGCATTTAAACAAAATACATACATGAAGAGTGCTGAACCTCTGACCAAAATGACAAACACCACTGTGAGTGGACATATGACTTTTTAGTGGTGGGACGGCAGTTAAGAGAACACAACCATAAGAAGGACAACACAAACGGCTACAGTCGTGCATTGAAAAATACACTTGAAATGTGCAGCGTTACAGAATCATTAAAAGATTTTAAAAATGTCTTTGTCCCTGATGCTACGTTGAGATTTTTTCCATACTGACTTGTGATGCTGACAGTGCTTCGTTTTGTCCACTAGGACACATGAAAGAGACACACACTTAGTGGACAGCAATGCTTGGCCACACTTCATGAAAAAAAAGTCAAACAAAAGAAGAAGAGTGTCTGTTTAGTGCTGGGTTCAGTTGAGGCTGGAGGTGGACCTGGCGGCCGAGCTGGCCGCGGAGGGCAGGGTGACGCGCTGCTCGTCCATTCGTTTGGCCTGAGAGCGCATGATGAGGCTGAAGAAGTCCTCGTCCGGTACGGTGGGGCCCCGGACCGGGGGCGGGGGAGGGGCGCACCGCTGGTCGTCCAAACGGGAGCCCTGGAACAGAACAAAACGGGCGCATGAGAACAGGACTTCTTGGGTGTTACACTCCAGTCTGCGTCTCTCGGACGGAAAATCGCTCAGGGCTGGGTGGGATCGTGTACCTGGCACTTGACGAGCATGTCGAAGAAGTCGTCGTCGGGCTCGGCGTTGTCGGCGTTGGCGATCAGGTGGCTGAGCACGGCCTGGTTGCTGCTCTGGTTGAGCCTGAGGCCCGGCAGACTCCCCCCTGCTGCCGACGACTCCTCCAAGCGCCTGCCCAGGGTCCCGGACATGTTGACCGACTCTGACACAGCTGAAAGTTTTAGGGGGGGGGGGGGGGGGGGCGAGAAGTCAGTCGGAAAATCTGGTGTGGCTGTGATCAAAGCAGGGAACATCTTTAATGAAACAAAGATTACAGGCTGATGCAGTTTCCTGACTTCTTAATTCTATTTTTGAGTGACATCAACAAGTTCTCAAAACAGAAGAAATGGCCACTGGCTGTGAAAAATCCCGATTTCTGCGTCACATCTTGGCTTCAGACACAATGAACTCCATTGTCTCCCCATTCTTCGTTCCTTGTTTATGTTTTAAGCTTCCACCATTAAGAACTGTTGCTTATTTTAGCAATCTTTTGCGAGATCAGTTACCGGTGCTGCAGTCACTAATAAATGGGAAATTTCCATTTACCGATCAGTGATAAACCAATGAGCACCAGATTTTCTCAAAAAACACTTATTTTATCCCCTCAATTAAGTGAACTGTTGAAGTAACGACGTGGCCTAAAGCGTGGCCTATTATACATTTTAACTGCTGATGTGAGTCAGAGACATGGATGAAGGAGGAAGGGTGGTACACCGAACACTAAATCGGACGAGCACGGAACAAGGTTCTCTTAATCCGCTCTTTAAATTCTGTGGTTCGAATATAAGCACCCACATTTTCTGATGGTCCTGGGAGGCGAATCTGGTCCGCTGTTCAACGATAATCTGCTGCCTCGGTCCTGTATCGAACAGCGCTGGTCGTCCATGCGGTTGCTCTGGAAACGGCTCAGGAGGTCAAAGAAGCCTTCGTCCCCGAGCATGTCGGGACTGAGTCGCTATATATAAAAAATGTGGAAAAACAGGTGTAAAAAGTTTTAAAATGGTTCAAGAAGATGAAATGAAAGGTGTATAATTGTATGAGTGCTGCTGGGCACCTTCTGGGATCCCTGGGCGGCGGTCTGACTGGTATCCAGGGTGTTGCTGGTATCTTGGAGGACCTTACTGGAGCTGCCAGACTTGAACTTTTTCCCACGCAAACGGCTGACGAAGAACAGCTTGGAGGAGCTCTTGGTGAACGAGGGCTTAGACTGTTTGGTCAGGATGTCACTGTTCCACTTCTGACCCTTTTAAAACACAGGAAGAGAGCGATTATCACACCGAGCGTAGAAAAAGTGACAGGAATGAGTGACCAGCAGTAGAGGTCGATATGGACGCGTAGCTCACATTCATTTTGTCTGGACTGAGTGTCATCAGCTCCAGGTTCTCCATGCTGTGCCGTCTGCTCATTCTGGGCCTCGCTCCTGGAAAAGCCGCATAAGGCCCATTACTAGGTAATCCTTTAGAAATATACCAAGTCAACTACTGTGTAGTCTTTACTCTGCTCTTTACTGTGCAAATACTTTATATCTAAAGGAAAAATATACATCTGTACCATATACACTCTTTTTATATTGTCTCTATTTTGTCTTTTGTACTCTTCATAAGCTACTGGAACCAGAATTTCCCTGAAGGAGTAAGTTGAGTCTAAGTCTAAATCCAAGTGGTGTTGTGGTGTAATTCTCACCGTGTGAGTTGTAGTCTATTTCCTTATTTTCCGACAGCGAGGAGCTGTTTGTGCTGTAGCTCAGACCTAAAACAGTCTGCAGGTCGGACACGTTCATGCGGGCGGTCAGCTCCCCGCTCCTGTCTCCAGTCTGAAACAAACCAAAGCCGATGAGTAGAAGCACACGTGAGGGGCCCTTCAGGTATTTCGGTTTTTGCACAGCTCTAGTGGGGAATCCTCGGATTTTGTTCTGTGTCTTTTCTCGCACCTCTTTGCAGATGTCCAGGTGCTTCTCAGCAAAGTGCATGGCCTGGTCGTGGTTTCCCAGTGCGGTGTGAGCATTTCCCAGACTCCAGCATGCACGACCCTCCCCGATTCTACAAACAAGAAGGCACGCATTAATCCACGGGAATGGTTGGGTTCAAATACAGCCAACGGCGGGTGTGTGTGTGTGTTTTACCTGTCGTTGAGGTCCTGGGCTATGATGAGGTGTTTGAGGTGATAGTCTATGGCTCTCTCATAGTCCTGAAGTAGTGTGTAGGTGTTGCCCAGACTGTAGCAGGCCTGCGCCTCCACGGCTCGGTCCTTCAGCTGCCGGGCCAGCTGCAGCGTTCTCCTGACAAACACACACAGGACAGGCATTCAATCTTTAAACTCCAGCAGGTCTCCTCCCTCAGAAGATGCCCGGAATGGGAACAAGAGGCCTCACACATGAGGGGAGATCTCCCCCTTTAGTTATGTGTTGCATTTCATTAGAAAATCAGCCCAAAATCTGAATAATCAGCATCACAGCGTGTCAAAGTTCAGCGTGCCTGTGTGGTCTGTGACTTACTTGTAATGCTCAGCCGCCACTTCAAATTCCCCCAAGAAGATATAGGCGTTGCCCAGGTTGCAGTACGCTCGCCGCTCTGCCGAGCGGTCGCCGAACTCCTTAGCAATCAGCAGCCGCTGGAACAGAAACACGCCTGAGTGACAGCGCCCGCTCACAGTGAGAGGAGAGAGAGCGGCGGCGGCTCCAACTCACCTGTTCATGAGACGCCACGGCCTTGCCAAAATTGCCCAACAGGTAGTGCGTGTTGCCGAGGTTGCCGCAGGTTCGACCCTGGGCGGCTCGGTCCCCGAGCTCCTTCACTATGGCCAGGTTTGCCCTGATGACAACAAGAAGCCCTTCGGCTTAGATATCTACAGAAATACGCATTAGGGAGCCAAGCGTTTGTTGAACAAAATGCATCTCAGCATGCTTCGGACGACCCCACACACTCTGTGACCTACTCGTAGTACTCGGCCGCCTTCCTCAGAGCCGTCATGACCTCTTCTGGGAAGTCTCCGGGCTCGGCCCCGCTCCAGCAGATACTCTTGCCTTTGGCGTGGTACACATTCCCAAAGTTATACAGAGCTCGAGCCTGCCCCACCTAATGAAAGCCAGGAGAGTGGTGTCCGCTATCCTCTGGAAACTGCAGAATTTCTGACCGTCGTGGTTGCTTTGGATAAAAAAAATGCCGACTCACCTTGTCGTTGATGTCCCTGGCTATGTCCAAGTGCCTCTGGCAGCAGACCACCGCCTCGTCGAAGCGACCCAGCACCTTTAACGTGTTGCCCAGGTTTCCGCTGGCTTTGGCTTCTCCCAGCAGGTCGCCGATCGTCCTAGGAGAGGTTGAGATGTTAACGACCACGTTATCTACTCTGACGGCAGCCGCGTGGTGCCTTGCGTCGAGAGCCCGTCAGACCTGGTGAGGGTGAGATCGTGCCGGTGGAACTCCAGAGCCTTGGCGTAGTCGTGCAGGTGGAAGTAGGCGTTGCCCAGCTGGCTGTAGATGGCGCTGAGCACCTGCAGGTCCTCGGTGCCCACCTGGATGGCGGCCTCAAAGAAGGAGACGCCCGCTCTGTAGTCCCCCGCCTTACAGAGCCGCTCGCCCTCCAGAGCCAGCTCCAAGCAGGACACCTCCATCCTGCAGCAGAGGAGAGCTGTCAAGCAAAAGCTCCAAACCACCCGGATGAACAAACAGTGAGCAAAGCGAGTCACAGAGAGTCCTGTGCGGCTGCAGCCCAACGACAAATGATTAGGCTTCACTCTCGGAATGGGAACAAAACTTCTTTCGAAGCAAAAAAAAAAGCCTTTGACAGGGAATGTTGTTTCGCTACTTCCTTCCACCCACAGAGAACAATGGCTTCCAAACGAAGTTTAGTTTATTTTGCTTGATCTCACATCCTTCTGACATGCCCCTGAAAGTGAGTTCGTTCAAATGTTGAACAAAGAAGGACAATGAAAATGCCCGCTTACCACCACTGATTTAAAATGAGAAGAAATTCAAATATCGTGGGAGCCCGTTAGTGCCGCAAGCCGTGTGAACATTTCTGGACATTTCTCCCAAAGTCAGGGGTTTATTACAAAACATTCAGCTCCAGCATAGAAAAATAACATTTGTAACGTTTGTTAGCAGCGTTCACAGTGGGGCAAACTAACAAAGCCTAGCAGACTCTCATGGAGCGTCGGACTTGCTGTTGGCTTATCTTTGAATAGGAGATTAAGCGGCGTGTTGGAGCAAAGCAAAAACAGACGGTCAGCCCTAGTTTTTCAGGAAACTCTATTGTTGGGAGGAGATTAGCTTCCCTCAAAAATCTATTCAGCTTGTTTATCTCAAGTTTTCCTCTCGTTTCCACCCAGCTTTTATCTGAGCTTTTACCTCTAACATGGTCTGGGCTGGAGCCCTTGCATGAAGTAATCGCTTACACGGGATAAAGTGTGCACCTGAGGGTGACGCAAAAACACCAAACGCGGCAGCTTGTCTCACCAAACAGCTGGGCTATCATTTGTGAACAAAAGCAAATGCGAGATTCAGAATAGGCAAAGCCCGGCTCAGCAGTCTTAGGCCTTAAATTACAGGAGCTTCTTTTTTTGTTTGCGACCTACTTAACATTATAGCATTGAACACTACAGCTCTGGTGAATGCTATCCTACCTGCCAGCTTTTTGGGTCTTACAACAACAGCCGCAGCAGCACATGGAACATCTGGGAGGCATCTACTGAGGTTTCCACTGGGAAAACTTCCCGGCTGCAGCTCCTCTGTTTCTCTGAAGCATGGACCTTGGTCTATTACCTTGGACCCCACAGAAGAGCCTTCACTAAAAGAGGTCGCTCAGCTAGTTTGTTGCTCGTTTGCCTTAAAAAAAAAAAAAGCTTAAAAACATATAGCTTTCCTTTTTCTTTGACACCAAAGCCGTCACTCGTTTGACGTCACAGAGATATTTTAGGCATCACGCACTGGAAAACTTTCAAGGAGACGCGGGTGATGTTGTCACAGTATTAACTTCCAATGCATGGCAGCTGGGAAATTGCTCAATCAGCAATTCCACGGCTAATCTACTTGTCTTTCCTCCAAGTGCTCGCTCTTCTGGCGACCTGGTCACCTGAGATTTACGTCTGTAGGGTATGCTCCTGACAGATTACAAAGCTGCAGAATGCTAAGTAGCTTGATTAGAGCTGTCAGGCATAAGCAGACTCTGAGCTGACGTCTAATGGAATCAATTCACTGACGTTAACCATCTCCACAGAGGCAATCAGGCCTCCTCTCGTTCGGCAGACATCCACGGTCCAGGCGAAGCGGACACATGTGTGACCATAAACAAAGCAGGCCGGGATGAATTTTTCAGGGCTTGTTTAAATATTTAAGCCATCCCGGAGAGGGTTTTTGCTCCGCAGGTCACACCTGCTGCAGGAGTGGTTTACCTTTGTAGGGACAACTTACAGACGCCTTTGTTCACAAACACACCTTCAGCCATCACACAGCACCCACTGCACCATAACCCCTTTTATGAGCCAGAATATACATCGGTTTATGATGCAACATCCCATTCATTGTAAGTCAACTAAGTAAAGAACCCTTTGTTACATGAAAGTCACGAAAAGCAAAAGTGTTTTCAACCTTCATCCACCAACGAACAAGTGAATTAAAAGCTGAAACTTGTGAGGAGAAAGAAAAACGATCTAAAGCCGAACAGCTGAGCCACACTCTCCACACCATGACTACACTTTGGCAAAGAGACATGAGATTCCTACCTGTAGCGGACATGAAAGGGCTGCTCCTCAGCTCGCATGCTAACCACTGAGCCACCGGTGTCCATTGAAGAGCATAATATGAGGGAAAATCCCAGTTTCGTTCCCGAAAAAATGGTTGCGTTTAGGAAAAGAGAATCAACAAGAGAAAAAAAAAAAAGTTTTTGGTCAAACGGAGCTGGGCAACAAGCAAAGAGTCACCAAACGTGAACGCCCATCTGCTGAATAATGACACCAGAAGGGGAAAAGAATGTTAGAGTCCTGAGCGTCGGTCCACACGGCCGCTTTGGTGGACTGTGTGCTTTGCGCCGCTGCCTCTCCTGTTAGCAGCGCTCTGTGAAGAGAACACAAGATGCTGCATGTGAAGCCTCTTTCAGGCTGCACGGTTCCATGGCAACACCAACCAAACAGCAGCGTGCACAAGCGGGGCAGGCAGCAAGCGAGAGAGAGTGGGGCGGGAAAAGAATGGATGGCGCCAGCTCATTGGAGCTGTCAATCCTACACGGTGACTCAGTCCATCCAGGAGTGCAGCGTGAGCTCTAAAGTTGCTACAAAGTGACAAAGCGACTAAGGTCTCGGGCTGGAAAACAACTGCAACTGCAGAGTGTATAAACGCAAAGCACGAGAAACCCCAAAAAACAGAGAGAGCTGTGGGCTGATTTGTCAAATTTTAAAGTAAATGGAACCTTTGTAAAGTGCATAACAGATTAATCTATGGAACCTCCACCAAAGGAAAGGGCAAAGAGAAGCAAGCTATATGGATAAGAATGACAGCACCAAATAAAGCAGAGCCAACTATTACCTCATTTCCCCATGACATCATAAAAGCCACCACCATTTGTCCCCCAAGTTGAAAACCATTGGTTGCATCCCGCACATATACACACACACACACACTCACTCACACACACACACACACACACACAGAGCCGAACAAAATGGGGCACACAAATTACTAAGTAGTAACTGGGTTAAATCTTCACTGTAAATGGCAATAAAACAGCAACACATGACAAACAGGCAGCAAATGTCAGGAAAAACCTTTCAGAAGAATAAAAAGTCTTACATTTCTCTGCTACGAGGGCTTACAAGTTCATGTTCACAGTCAGGAAAAATAAACTGCAGGCATTTTACAAATGATCACAGTGTCGTTTTTCCATCTTCAAGTTCCTGAAAGAGCCTGCTCTGTTGTGGCTTATTATTAACCAGTTTATGAAAAATTGAACGGTTAATAACAGGTTACCTGTTTCAATTTTATCTCACAGTAAATAGACATTCTGTTACACAGGCTCCAGCTCTAAAATAACTTGTTGTATAACCTAAAACACAGAAGAGGACTAAAATTTTTATTTTTCCATCTCTGCCAAGTATTTTTGATGCTCTGAGTTTGAGCTACAGAGACAAAAAAAATCTACTTCAACAGCTGTGCGAAAAAAAAGTTGAGTTAAAAACAACTGTCATCATTTAATTGAGTTACTTTTTACAGTGTTGGAAGCCTGTGCCTAAACATGCCTACAGTTTTCACACAGCCTTTTTCCACCACTATGTCCCAGCTGGGTGTGTATCTGCCCTTCCCTGTTGAAAGGCATAAACCGGAACAATGGATGCATTTATAAAGTCTCTCACAAAAAAGGAAAACAGGCTCTTTTAATGACAGTTTTGGGAGAGGTAATCATCGACTCTTTTTAAAGCCACAAACAGGACATGATTTCATCACTGAGCACACAGCAGTTGTGATCTATTTTCCCTGGGCTTTAAAGCACTAAAATTACAACTGCCACTGACTCCAAAATCTAAATAAGGACACACTATGATTGCACTACAAGGTGGTAAAAGTCTAGATCAAAACATAAGACAAAAATAACATGGTTAGCATTTGGATACTGACCGGTAATTCTTCCTCACAGGAACAGGAAATCTGGGAAGCCTGTAAAGGAGGAACAATGATGTGACTATGAATAACTACATTTAAAAAACCTGTGTGGCAATACCTGGTTATTTAACATTTTTGTTTTAATATTTCTGTATTTTTCCCTCAGTTGTTTCAGACAGATCAAATACAAGAAGAAAACACTGCTTAGTGATTAACTATCCCACTTTGAGTTAATATTAGGTTAAAAAACATTTTGTTTTACCTCGAACAAAATGATAAAAACTACTGAATATGTTGCAATGACTCTGACTATGGGTGTTTTAATAAAATATTTCTAAAACAATATGGAACAGTAAAGGGTTGTTTCAAGGTCAATTGAACTTGTTTAGGATAAATGTGTCAAAATAAATTAACATACTTTAGATATAAATGCAAAGTGTAAAAACACTAAAACACTGTGTGTTTTTAAAGGTGAATTTAAATAGATGCTGATACACAGTTATTGTTGTTTAATACAAAGTAGCGTCATCATGCAGATCTTTTTCCATGTGTTTGTCACATAAGATAGATGACAGTCAAACTAATGAATGTACGATTCCGATTGTTAAACTAAACTAGCCGGCAGGAAGCACAAAAACAAAATATTTTTTACACGTCTGTGTGGTGATTTGTGTGGAGATTAAACCCTTCTAGACAGATGCCCCCACCTCTGCCAGCCCCAGACCCATGCATTTGCCTTCAGTCTGTTGTCCGGACTAAGGAGCGGAATCTAAATAGTGGTAACTTGTGCACCTGTCAAGATGCTTGATCTCTTTAAACAACTAGCATTATTTCCAATTCGAAACTACAGACGTGTGCGAGTAAACTGCTAAAGATTAGCTCCGTTAGCTTGGTTGCCGTAAACTTACGTTAAGCGATCCAGTTCGAACAATGGTGGCTTCTCCTCTTCTTATCTTCACGTTCTCACAACATTAAAACATGCCTCCCTCTAAAAATTATTTGTAGTAGTTTAAAATAATAACGTTTCTATCTACAGCTGTACACTACATTGTATTTTTTTTTTACTTTAGCGGCACTTCAATTTAACTTTTACGGGACAGAAAAAATTCACTGTAGTAATAGCTTCGTGTGTTTTCGACAAGTGGCCAATCAGAGACCGTCATTCAAAGTTAACCACGCCCCGAATAACAGTCATTGGACCAATCGATTTGAATAGAAAAGAGATGACGTATTATATATAATAAGTAGCTGTGCATTGGTAAATAAACATGAACGTTTTTGTTATCTCTGTCTTTAACTTGTGTGAATTACCGAGCTTGGCCCCTTGCCGTATATTTAGCCGTATAATGTTCTGTACATGAAAATAGCTTTAACTATATTAAAACAAATGTTTTTAATGAATACTTCATGTGTTGCAGTAGATTATTCAAAAACCTAATTACCACGAGAACACATTCAGTAGGACGAGGTTTCAGCTCAGTCTCCTAGCAACCACACCCCGCTTCTTCGCGTTGATAGTCCCGGTCCAGACGTGCAGCGCCGCGTGTAAATTACATTATTAATGATTCCACAGAAACTAAACCTGCCCAAGTAGCCATATGTCATGAAGGAAAGAGAGTGTATTACTGTAGCTACCTTCGAGATGATGTCAAGAGCCAGGGCACGTCTCTGCCTCGGACCAGCTTTGTCACACTGCTGCGGGACATAATCACCGTGAGTAACCGGCATCGGCGAAATGTTTATGACAGACTTGACCACAGCCGCTACTCTCAGACTGCTATTCTTACACTTAACCGGCTAAAAAACAATTTCATGGCGACTTTTTTTTTCTTTTCCACCTTTTTTTTTATTCCCATATTTCAAACCAGATGGAGTAAACTTATTTTGTTTTGGTCTAGTTATAATAGTTTGCCAAGTCTAATTTCCCTAAAATATCTGTTGAAAATGTCAGCATTTTCACAGCAATTTCATATATATAACATAAAATCTTGCTTTTAGATGCTGAATGTTGTTGCTGCCTTTTTCCTGTATTTCTCAGAGCATACATTATTTCTCATAATTAACACTGGATCATGTAAACTGCCTTGAAAACAGTGATGATTGTTGAATAATTGACGGCTTTGCAGATTTTGATCCCATGTTGTCACCTCACAAGTGGCGTTGCTAAGTGATGAACAGTTGTTCCACCCTCTTTCTTCCTCGTTCCTAGGACAGGTGTAGAGAAACTGGATGGCATGTTTTCCGTTAAAGAGCGAGTACCCGTGGAGGGAGATTCAGAGGAGTCAGAAGAGGATCTCCAAGCAGAGGACCGGCCTACTGTGCTGTGGGAGAGGCGCATCGAGCAGAGCATCATTGTTGACCTCAGTGAAGATGAAAGTCTCCACCTCAGTGATCTCGAGAATTCTTTAGCATTGAATTTGTCTCAAGTAGAGTCTGCTACCTCAGAAACCAGCATTCATCTTAGTGGCAAGTCTCTGTTGATTTCTAGTATTTTGCATTGGCTGGTATGACTTATTTTGTTTGTAGTGTATTGATGTGATCATGAGTGAAATCTGAAATGCAGTTAAAAGCTTTTGATATAGCTTTTGAAAATGTACTGATAAATTAAACACGTTTGACCTGTCTTCAAACAATGTTGTTAGTTGCATTGTTTATAGAGGGCAATCTTTAAAAAGTTGGCGCAAACAGACAATCACTTAGACTCTCTAATTTGCCTTTTTGTAATTGTTTTTTCTAATTTGCAGGGAGCGCAGAGCTGTCAGAGTTAGATGACACCACATCAAGGAGCAGCGTTGTCAGCAACAAGAGTGTGAAGGCATTAGAGAGCAAGACAAAGAGCAGCAACTGCTGTGTTTCTGCCCAAAGACCAAACACCATGCAGCATGAGCAGCCAGTAAAGCAAGATGGTGAGGACTCGGGGCAAAATACCAGCGACGAGGATCAGGAGGATCTTCCTTTTGACGATGACCTTGGAAGTTCTTACTTCGACCACATAGCTGGCTCTGAGTTAGACTCCGAAGGAGGAAGTACTGTTCATGGAAGTTCTGATCTTCCTCCTCTGACTGAGCTGTTGCAAGAGGAAGTCGACACCAAAAATGGTGACCATTTTGAAGCTTCCAGTTCGCCTGAGAGAGCCCCACCACACCCTGGTTCTGCCTTCATTAACCACTTGTTGCTGCGACACTTCTCCCAGGAGGAGCTGATGTTTTCCGGTAGGATGATTGAGGCTGAGACCCTGCCGGAGGTGTCCCTGCTGGAGAGTGTCGATGAAACTGTTTTCAGCCTGGCTCCCACGCACAACAGTACAGCAATACACAATAACCACACAGAAAGCTCACATGAAAGGAGTAATACTGCATCAAAACATGTGAACTTAGATGTTAAGACAGAGAAGAAAATCGATTCTTTTTCCTTTGCTGCTGCCAACCACAATGAATCCAGCTCTGCGAGTTCAAACCAGAGCAGTGGGGATATCACTGCAAATGCAGCCAAGCATGAAAAGGTAGAAGAAGATTATCAGAGTCAGAGAGTCCCTCTGGTGCGTACCAGATCCTTTAGTGAGATGAAGTATGGCCAAGGCAAAGTTCACTACCCCCTCCCTGACTTCTCCAAGGTTCCACCAAAGGTAAAGATCCCCAAAGCTCTAAGCGGTCCCAACAGATCTGTTCCTCCAAGCCCTCGTACCATGCACAGAGCTCAGTCTTCACCGGAGATTTTAGAGGTGATCAGCAGAGTCCTGGAGGATTCGGTTCCCTCACCAGTGAAGGCCTATGTCTTCAAGGACAATGAGAAACAGACTTCCCCGGTACTGGTGCATCACCTGCAGGTAGAGTTAATGTTAGATATTCAGCATGCATCCACACCTGCTTGTATTTATATGTATAATGAAGTTGTGCTCTTTGAATCTAACAATTTGCGTCTAATTCCTTCAGGTTGAATATGATAAATTACTAACCAAATACGCTGAAGCAGAGAACCTAATAGACCAAATGAGAATAGGAACAAATGTAAGTAATCCACTTTTTCTGTGTAAGTACAAAATTGCAGATTTGCAAGTAAACTTTTCAAGTCAAGACTCATGTATTCTAACAATAAACTCATTAACTCTCTATACAGACTCAACCGTCCTCAGAGATGCTTTATTCAGAACCCGGTGTCGAACATGTTGACTTTGATGATAAAGGGAATTACATGGAACATTTGCCAACTCACCTTCCCCTATCAGGTATTTCTGTCTCTATTATTCAATATTATGACAGGCTGATGCTTTAATTTGCTATCTGCAAAGTGACCTCAAACTGCTTTTTTACAGAGACAAATTTCATGAAAAAAGTGATTCATAGACTAAGACAGAGCGGAGAGAGGACTGTTTTGCACTCTATTCTCAACCAACTTAGTCTAAAAAAGATTTACTTGTCCTAGATTATTAAGAATTTCCACAATTTTCATTTTTTACTGTGTCCTTGGAAATTCTCATAGAAATGGAATCTGTTAATGCATGTTGTTCAGAATTTGTTAGACCATTTTGGGTATGCACTCCTGTGCTTGTGACTTTTCAGAGGACTTAGATGAGGAAGGCATTACTCACCATAAGGAGCAGATTGCAGTTTCCTCAAACCACCATGAAGACATTTCCAGTGAAGGCGAGAGAATGACTGCTGAGCTCAGAGAAATCATAATCCAGTTTATGCAGAAGGTACTGTTATTAAAAAATGTTCCTTCAACATCACTACATGTTCATCGTTGAATGCCATTTATCGTTGAGAGGCTTATGAAGACATTTAAAAAAAAAAAACAATGCTTTCAGGTGGAGGAATTTAAATTTAGTGCTAGCAGCATGGTTGTAAGCACACCAGAAAAGCAAATGGTAAGAACTCTTTCTTCTTCAGAGAAAATAAACGTCAGAAAAAAAAAATTCTGAAAAAATAGACATCTTGTTTGGTTTTTATTCTCAACATTCCAATAGCATCTTTTTGCATGTGAATGCATAAAACAAATGTGTCCTTCGCCAGATGTTGCGAAGCATGATGGAGGCTCAGGACCAGCTGGAAAGGAAATACATCGCTAGGAAGGAAGAGCACAGAGCCCTAGAGATGCAGAACCACATGGGCCTGTCCAGGAATACTGGCACCTTTGACCCAAACAGGTTATCATAAGCTGTGTTGTTTAACTTGTGAATATTTGTCAATATCATATTTGTAAAACCTTTCATGTATGCGTTAATGTGTGTGTCCATGTGTCGTCAGACTAGTGGAAGGAGACATATTCAGGATAGGCATGCACCTCGAGGACATAAAGGAGATGATTGACAAAAATGTGTACGAACAGATTTCTCCACCACAGTCATCCTCCACTCCCATGCCCGTAACATTGTCTCTGCATGCTAAACTCAATCCACTCCGCATGCCCACACTTTCACCCCTACGCCAGGTAACAAGCTCACAGACACTGCTCTCAGTTTTCCCTGCTGCTTTTTGACACTCAGAATTCACTCATTCAGACATTGCCTGTTCCCGGGGCTGTACGGTGTACAGCCCCGGGAACAGGCAATGTACAAACTTAATCTCATCAAGGTTTCGAGGCCTTTTCAATGAAGAATCTTGGGTATCTCTTTCATTATCTCTTCCTGTTTTGTCGGATGCTCTCATCCCAAGCAAGTCTCCAATCCATCACAAAGCTACCACAAAGCTATCAGTTGATTTACCCATGCATGTCCTCAGGCTGCACGGTGGTGTGGTGGTCTCTGGGTACCCCGGCTTCCTCCTACCATCCAAAAACATGCAGTGTGATGATTCTAAATTGCCTATGAGAATGAATGGGAGTGTGTATGGTTGCTTATCTCTCTGTGGCCCTGTGAAGGATAGGAGATGCCCCACCTCTTGCCCAATGTCAGCCGGGATAAGCTCCAACCTCCCTATCACCCTATGCATGAATGGATGTCTTTGAATCGTGTATCTGCAGTTACATTTTTCAAAAAGCCACTAATCCATGAGGTGGAACATGAGAAATGATCAATTAGATATCTCAGATTACCAAATGGAAAAATTAAAATTTGCATTTGGAATATAATTTTAATTTTCAGAGTGTCTCATTTATGAATTTATTGTATTACAGATGATCTATTTCCTTAAGTAATTATCATTTTATCATATAAAAAAATTGTAGACATAGATTTGTACTATCAGCTTACTATTTATAGATTACAGTGTGCTGACAGTTGATATAAAATTAAGCTTACTATGTCAAATAATTTTTCACCGCTTTTCTACTCTTGATCTGTTCAACTGTCAAATAACAATGTGTAAATCCAAGCTCTGAGCAAGAAGGCCCATTATCTATCCACGCTTTTGCTCTGATGGTTTTTTACACCACTACTTAACTACATTAGCTAAATCATCCTCTGTGAATTGTTATGATCTCGTATCAGTTAATATTTACACCAACAAGAAAATATGTGTGGATTTTGCATTTCAGGGTGAAAGTTCAGGTTTTTCCTCTTCTAGCTGTGAGATGACTGCAAACGAAGAGGAAGTGAAACGTGAGAAAGTGGAAAGCAACAGTGGGCTTTATGTAATTGGTGAATTAAACCAAACCAATGAGCTCCTGACTCTTAACAATTTAATGAAAAGCCACCATTCACGGTACCAGTGATTTATCTTTTTCATTGTTTAACGTAATATTTGTTTGTTTATGGTCAATATTTATTTTCCTTATTTACTATCCCATTATGAATGCTTCCCCTCCTAGGTAGTTTAGCATTATTCTATAAAGAGTTGGTAATTAGAAACACATGTCATTTCAATTAATAATTGAAAACCAAGAATACTGTATAAACATGTATTAAGCCACCATATTGTCTTCATCTATGGGTACTTTGAGAGGCACTTGCATGTGTTTGTGCTCATATAAAAGGCACGTTCTCTGCCTTCCTGTGGGCAGATAATGTTTCGGGTACAGTGTTGGTGTTAGGTTTCCCGGTGCAGAGGGAAGAGAGTGTTTGGATCGTGTTGTGCATGTTGTGTTTTCTGGCCTGATTCAGAGACTTACTGGACTCACTGGAAGGACTGGACACCCAGTCAGCTGAGGATGAAGAGGGCAATGAAACAGAAAGGAGTTCTGTTTTGTTTGAGGTGACCGATCACAGCAACATCTTAGAGTACCTCAGAGGGAAGAGTTCGACCTGTAAACAGACGCAGTCTGCAGGCAACAGGTCAGTGCGGAGGTATGTGTTAGAATGTGTGATTATTTTAAACAGCTGTTGTCAACTCTTAATATCTAAACATCTCTTACCTCAGTAGTGTGTGCGATCAAGGGGATTGTGTGAGTCTGGCAGTGGAGGTCTCCTGTTCCTCTAATGCACCCGCAGACTCAGAGAACCACATCATCCTAGAGCCTTCTTTCAACAGCTCATATGAGTCAGAGGTCAGTCCCAGATAAATAGTTCATGGCCTGATAATTAGCAAATCCTCCCTACCCAAAGTTAAAGCTAAGCAGTGTGTCTTTTTACAGCTGCAGAGGATTGTGAGTCCAGAGACAGACAGTGGATTTGGTAGCTCATATTTGAACCAGTCCTCCTCTGGAACATTTCATTTTCTCGCAGGAAGGTAAAAATGTTTTTGAATGGCTCATCATGCACATATCTTATTGGCCTGGTAAAGAGTGGTTATAAGTGGGTCTCCCTTCACAGTGTTCAATCACATAGTGATGGAGTAAGGAGCTCAGACGGTGAAGGTTCCTGCTCCAACCTGCAGACAGCCATCCACTCTGTTCCCCTGACTGACCACCGGTGGGCCAGTCCTTACACATCTGTCCAATCACAGGACTGCAAAACAGCAGATGCTGTGGAACTTTGGGTGGAGAGCACCACTAAGAATCCCCCAGTCAGGTTGAAAGGTGCGTGAACACTTTCTCATGCTCATCTCTAATGGCATCTTGTCTGATTAATCCTGAGTTGATGGACCATTTCCCACTGCTGACCAAACAGGAAGTGACCAAAAGCAGCCTCCTCAGCTCAAACACCAGGTGCATGCGCCTGTACTCCGCTCTACCATGGATACAGAGGACAGAAGCAGCCCACTGCACTCTTGCTCGTGTAATAGGTAGTACATTGTACATGGTTGATCCACTGCTAAATGAAAGATTTTATCCCTGTCGTCTGTCTTATTCTCTTTTTATGAACAGCAAAATACCTTTGTGTGTAATTGTTTGTATCCAGTGACGCCATCCAGGCTTTGCAGTCAGAGGTGTCGAGGCTTAAGAGGGACCTGGAGGAGGGCTTAGTCCAACTGCCGCAGTTAGCCCAGAAAATGGACTACCTTACCTTAAAATATGGACGTGAACGTCAAGTGTGCAGGTCTAAATCCAGACCCTACCGGGCACCAGCTATCAATAGGTGGGGAGCCATATTCTGCCGTTATTCAGTAACAAGATATGGAGCGTTGGAGTATATTTATGTCACTATTTGGTTGAATTGAAGTGGTAGCTGATTAAAGTAGTAGTCTATGCTGTTATTTTCTCATAATTGAGTATAACTTTCCACAGTGAGGAGAAGTCAAGCGACAGAGGTGGGAGTAACCTAAATCCTAGTCAGTTGAGGGTAGAGGACTGGATCTCTTCAGACATGGATCCCAGCAAAAGCAAAGGTGCCTCTTCTCCACATAACGCTGAGCTCATTATTGTAAAAACTCAGCTTATCTTTCTTCTACTTCATTTCTGTTCTGGAATACAGGACTAACTTCATCTCTTAAACAATTTGGTCGTTTTTTCTCTTTAGACACAGCCTGCAGTGACACAAGCTGCTCTGAGATCATGCAAGATTCATCTGTAAGAAACAAGAGAGGAAAAACAAATGTCTGTTCGGCAGCCAAGCTTGAAGATAAGACAGCACAGCCCAACAGAGGTAAGAGCTATGCTCGCGTGGCAGGTGTTCAGCTGTCTGCTCCAACTCTTTAAAGATAAGGTTAATGTGATCCAAGGTGAAAAGTTAGATTGAAAAATATTTTGGTTTTATAGAAAGGACCTTATTTTAAAATTAAAGAGAGACACTGGATAAAAACAAAGACCAAAGTGTGAGTTTTCTCACCAGCAGCTGAAAATGTTAAGTTTGACTAATAGGATTTTTACCCAATGAAAACAACGGCAGTCACTAACAGAAAGAGTCGCCGAATTGTCCCAGAACCCTGTGCAATCCATACAGTGTGTCTTATTACAACATACACTGTATCACAACTCATCTATCTGTGATCAACAGCCATCAAGAGTGTCAACCACAAGGATAGGTGGTCTCGTTTCTCGATTCCATCTTCCCACAAACCTCTTCTCCAGGCCAGCTATGGCTCAACCAGCAGCCTGCCAGCCAGGTATGCATGTCTCACCTGCGCAATGCTAAAACCCTGTGCACGTATACAGCAGTTTCTCATCAACTGAATGAGCTATTAAGCTGTCCTAAAAGAGAACAGTTATATTTCATTGTCCGCCCTTAAATCCAGCTATAAAGTGAGGGAGCCACAGCTGCAGTCGCTGTCCCACCACAGAAAACGCTCCACTCAGTCAGACACTGCCCTCCTGCCCAGCAACGTGTACTTCCAGCGCACGCTGTCTCCAGTTTCCTTCTCCCGCAAGACTGCCAGTAAGACCAGTGGACGAAGAGGAGAGAAGGTCACAATTATCTGACTTTAAAAGCGCATGACTCATTAAATCAGTAATGAACATCTGCTGTTCTTCGTAAAAGGGGACAGCTGGTTTGAACATAGGTAAAAATCTCTATGAAATGCATCTTTTTTTAAATAGATCCGTGCTGCTTCGCAAGGGGAGGACATAAACTGGACTTTGGATCAAGCGATTGAAGTTGCGCGCACCATGAAGAGGACCACTGACCGCATGGCCAGAAGACTGTCTGCAGACCTGGCAAAGGCTCAGCTGAGCAGGAAGCTTCACAACATGCAGCCACTGGGGGGCAGGAAACACCAGCCTTCATAACTCCACCACCCGGCAGTCTGAATGGTACCCGAGCTCCACGAAGCATACATCTAAAACATTATTTTATTTGGAATATTTACCTTTTTTGTTGAGTTTGTTTTCTTGTTCAATTTCGACATCATTTATAACAGACAGAAGTTGTTGAAATAAGGACCAGACTAAAACAACTTCAAAGTTGAGAAAAAGTCTCCCTTGATTAGTCTCACTGGTGTGTAACATGGAAACAAAAAAATCACTTTTTAGTAGATTAAAAAAAAAATTTCTACAGAATGGCGGCAATGTCATAAAGTTATAGATTCTATCAGACATGTTTTTCACAATGATCCATATCAGAGCAGTTCATTCATTTAATTAAACGGTTTCTATTGTTTTGATTTGTAACTGCTTCCCCATTGTACTTTCTGTAAGATATACAGACGGCCACAGGCAGAGGGAGATACTGCGAAATAAAGTAAATCTAGGTTAGTTTTATAATACATTGTTTCGGGGAAAACCCTCCCTGTCTTCAGTCGAGTATCAGCTTCTCTCCTTGAAGCTAATGTGCTCATTTGATGTCTTGAATGTCCATCCCTGGTGGCCTTTGGCTGTTATTGACACTGTCTTCTCACTGAGAGTCTCTCGAGCTGCTTTGCGTCCCCGTTCTTGTCGCAAGATGACTGAAAAAAATGGCTGAATGCTCTCCTACATTCAGCCATTACTTGTGTGGTGTTCAATGTCTTTGTTTTTCTACAGGGGCATCATGAAAGGAGAGTCCAAACAACATTCCTGAGCCCCCTGCTCTCATTGTTTTAACAAGAGGTGGAGTTCTCAGTGTTCATTAACCTAGAAGCCATAACTTCTCAACCAGTGCAGTTTTATACCAAACTCATATTTAATGAGAACGCAGAGCAATAAACCCATGCTTTTCAGACAGCACAAAGTCTGAGATGTTCTGTGCCTCATGGTGTGTGTTTGATAATGCAGTTTTACACTTTACTGTGGAATAAAGCTAACCTACACCATCACTCTGTAATCCTCTGCAGGTCGCTTTGTCTCACAGAAATTGAAAAGGTTGACTGTGAAACACTGTTACACAATCACCTGAACTCAAGCCCAAAGAACTTTAGTAAATAAGAATTTAAACTTCAACAAGTAAGAAATAATTACATTTTCAAATTAAAATGAATCAATGCCAATACAATGAAGAAGTGGGTGAAAATAAGGTTAGTTCTCAGCATTTCACACCCACTCATAGAACTGGTCTGAAAATAAAAACTTGGCATCACAAGCAAGTCAGCATATTGGGAACAGAGAGCTTTTGCAGGGTAATAAGGGGAAATAAAAAAGGTGGAGCTTTGCTATCAGATATGATTCATTATACAGTGAGCCATGAGGGATAATGCAGGAAGAACATTGTCTCTTAGGGTGGTGCTGCTTGGCAGCATTTTGAATCCAGTGAAGGGTTTTCTGATGATTGTGTGGAAAGTTTTTCGACATTACTTTGGAATAACAAGTCGCTGGTCCAATGCTTTAATAATGCTGTGATTTAAAAATAGAATCTAAACATTTGTGAATGTTTAGATTTGTGAAAAATTGACTCTGAGCTTGGTCACGGTTGAGCTGTAAACCTGGCAATAACTTACAAAGTAACTTACTGCCTGGAGGTTTAAACTGCCCTGAAGGATTTAGAGGTAAATATATACATTTGGGTTTTCTCTTAACCCTTTAAAGCCTGATCCAAGAATAAAACAAAACAGAAAATTCCTTTTTTTTGGTTTGATTCCTTATTTGGCCTTTTAACAAAATATGTAAAAAGAAAAAATGGAAATACATTTTTATTATTAATAATTTATTACTATGCGATAAGTCAAGATTATTTTTTGTGTAGTCTTCTGCCCCCTGTTATCAGGTGTATCTGATTGTGTACAATAGGTTTTTACCATTAAATGATGCAAAAGGTGTCAGACGCAAAACATTTCAGAAACCGTATGTATCAAATATGATACGTTTGGCATTAAAGGGTTAATTTAAAAGTAGAAAATCCCTGGTCACGAAGAAAACTCTCACTTCGCTAACTGATTAGTTTTCTCCAACCTAAAAGACAAACCGAGCTGGATGTCATCAGACTTACAAACAACCTGTTTTTAAATTTTTATAATGATAATATCACATCTTTTTGTAACTATTGGGAAGGACTAACACAACATTGATTTACCTACAGGGATCTGAACCTTATAACTCCAGCTTTGGTAACTGGTGGCTTTTCTATAGAGCACACATGTTTTTTGTGGATCTTAGTAAAGAATTCTCTTTGTTTCCTATCAGCAAAAGAAATGGGTCATCACTTGGATCAAGTTATCCGTTTATGTAAGACGTGTGCATTTCTCAGCTGGCTTGTCTGGATGGAGACTAAAGATTCACATGCAAGACATCGTCAACACGCTTATATCTAAACGAATCGCTTGAAAAAACACAATACGGCTGGTTTGTGATACAGGTGTCATTCTCAACATCCCCATCCAACAAAGGGGAGCTTCCATCTCCTGTGCTGATAGGCCACCTTAGCACCCCTGAGGGGTGGAGTTTCAGCCTTGGGGCTCTTTGGTATTTGCTGAAACAATAAAGCACCTGTGGTCTCCTCTCAGAGGAAGAAAAAGAGGAGTGCAAAAAAAAAAAGTTCAATTTAAACCTGTGCTGCTGCCCTGAAGTCACTTAGAGCATCACACATCTCTCCCCCAGGTAGAAAAACTCCCAAAGCATGGGCGCAATGCAGTTAAAGATGCTAAAACTTTTGCTTTTACTCACCTCAACACAGGTAAGTCAATGCTTTTTTCTTCCTTTACTTTTACGGAATCACAAGTATTTGGACAGTCTACCATCATAAAGAAGAAAATCTATCCATTATTTCTACTATTTGCTATGTAGAGAATTTTTTTCTATATCGAGATACGAGATTATGTGTAGAGGATAGACTTTTCTAAAATGAACACAGGCTCTTCTGAGTGTATCTGCTTTCAACGAGGGCATGTGGCAGGCCCAACCTCAGCTCAATAGACAAATTCATTCCTACCTGAAAGAAATGCCTGCCCTGAGCAAGCCCGAAATCTGTGTTGAGTGAAGGTAATGTGCAGCCTGCTGCCTCTCTTGCACTCAGAATATGATACAGGGCATAATTTGCTCCAGGATATGATGTGGAATACCAACAGCTTGCTACCCCTCCAGCGATGCCCTTGTCTTGAAAATATTATATCTCCTTTCACTCATCATAAACATATTTTCTTGTATCACTCACTCACCTGCATCATTATCTCATTTCCAGATATGCACAGCAAAGAATGGTAAGTAATTTACTATTATTCATTCTTCAGACGAGTTCATATAAAGGGCAGTATTTCTTTGAAAACGCACAAAAATTATTCAAAATCCGACTGAAATATGCACGCCTAGCTTGCATCGTCCATTCATATTTACCTGGAATGGGAATACATAGCGTTTCCAAGTACATTTTGAATTCAATCCAACAATTCTTTGTCTTTATCTACCCCAGACATCACGCTGTCTGTGTTTACGGTGACATCAAAGAGCATGACTGTGCAGTGGAGCGGCCACACTGGTGCCAGCTCCTACAAGATCACAGCGACTCCCAAGAACTCTCCAGAGCAGCCGGTGTTCGCTCAGTTTGGTGGCAACACGGTGATGGGCTCAGTTAACTCCCTGTCACCAAACACGCTGTACACCATGCAGTTGGAAGCCATGGACAATGCCCTCAATGTCCTCAGCAGCGCAGAGACCGAGGAGACAACAGGTCAGTAACAGCCGCAGACCCAGAGGTGGACGCACACAAGAGCCGTTCCATGGGAAAATGACCTGCGTTCAATTCTATAAGTGATTTCAGAATGACCACTACAAATATGAATATCTGCTTTATGATTTTTATTCAACCTTTTATACAATTGTTTAAAAGTTGTGAAACTTTCTGCGTTTAGAAAAATAGAAACTGATGATGATACTTCACCTTTACTAGATGAAAAGTAGGAACACTGTGCAAAAGGCTAAATGAGAGGAACTCAAAACCATCAAACTCCATTTTAAGTGGACAATAAATTATATACATCTTAAGTATATAGATATATATGTATACATCTTATTAAAGTATTTCTGATTCTGAAGTTCGATTAACTTCCATTTGTTTGAAGGATTGTCAGAGTAAGGCATGGGAAGGATTTCAGGATTCAGACTCTTCACTTTTTTTTAATAAAGCAGCAACATATATTGGTTGAATAATATAGTTAAATGAAAAATCTCATTCTTGACTTAATCAGAATTTTTTCTCAGATATTTCAAATACACTGTTGACCACCTCATCCAAATAAATTACCTTCAGGGAAAAGCAGAGTCTTTATTTCAACAGTGTCGTAAAGTCCATCATGAATGTGAAATCAGGAAATTAATACAGATAAAACATAATTATTTGGGTAGAAATCTCATATTTGAGAATCTTATCATCAAAACTTGACAGTTAAACTTGACTTATTATCAAAACTTGTGTAGCACAACCCAATGCTATGCCATGGTTCCACAGGAGATCAACAAGGCCTAGGCAGAGCAATTCAAAACATACAAGCTCCAGCCATAGGAGAAAGTAGCTGTAAGAGAGGAGTGAATAAACAGTGAGCTTGGCTTATTCATTATATAATGCCATGACATCTGTGTCTCTCTCTCTCTTATTTGCTCTGCAGCTCCTGATGTTCCCAGCATTGAGCAGGCCTACTCAAAAAACAGCGACAGCATCACTGTTGAGTTCACGGAAGTTTCGGGGGCGACCGGCTACATCCTGAGAACGGAGTCGAAGATGGGGGATTTCTTCTTTGAGACCATTGTGAACAGCTCCCCTGGCACTGTGGAGCAGCTTAAGCCCTACACCGACTACATTCTGAGTGTCATGTCTGTCAACACGGGGGGAAGAAGCCAACCTTCATACCCCACTGAGGCCAGGACAGGTACCGACAGAGTCCCTAAAGCGTTGTATACTGAGCATCTGAGATGATCGGAAAGGCCTTAATACTGTTAACAGCCGTTTCAGTCCACTTTCACTTGTCCAGACGGTACACAGTACAGTTTATCCAATATATCAATCGCTGTATTAAGTGTGAAATGCAGCCTTTATGTTGTTCCCGTCGAACAATGACGCTTTATCTCGTTCCGCCGGCAATAAGGGATCATCCTTTCACTGCCCATTGTCATTGATTTCTACTGTGTTGCTGCTAACGCAAGAGGGTGGAAACTTTATCCAACCTTCTGTACAGTACCATTTTCATAACATGAAAAGAGAAACCATGAGAACTAGGTTGTCTTCCTTCCTGAAAGAAAGTGAATGAAATATGATCCCAGAACAATGTTTTTTCTCATACAAAGAATGGGTACGGATGGAACTGAATTAAGAAATATTCATTTTGAATATCGATGTAGTTCTGAATGGGATTTGAACTCATCCCGCGTGCTCCTGTCTGCAGTTGTGATGGCGCCACAGGTGAACACATCGTCCACCAGCAATGACACCATCCTGGTAACGTGGGCCCCGGTGGAACACGCCGTCCTCTACACGCTGTGCATCATCCGAGAGGGCTCCAGCACCCGCCTCAAACTCAACACCACCGACACAGAGGTGACTTTCGACAATCTTGAACCAGGGACCACCTACTGCATCAAGAGCACCGCCTGGGATTCCGAGGGTCGCACCGGGGATGACCTCACCGTTTGCCAGATCACGCGTAAGCACCAGCAAGGCTTATAACCACGTCAACGCAAACCCGATCAATGGCCAACGTTACAGCGTTCTCATTCCTTTCCCAGGTCCTCTAAGCCCAGATGTGACACATGTCCAAGTGACTCAAGGCCGCTCGCTTGGGATCGCTGTGTACTGGGTGTCAGTGCAGGGAGCGAGGACCTACATGGCCTGGACTTCAAGCGGCCAGAACTGCTCCACTGAGAATAATTATTGTTACATCTTGCCTGCGGAGTGTGGCCAGAACCACTCTGTGTCCGTCATAGCATACAACGAGGCCGGACCTAGCGGCCCCTCACAACCTGCTGACTACATCACATGTAGGCTGAACACACACACCACCCTCATGAGCCAGTTATCTACAGTCACATCCAAAAGACTCGAGATGGAATAGAATATTACCTGTCCTTACCGGGTCTTTAATCATGTAAATAAACCTCAAATGAACAACATGACAATACATGATATATATCATCTATGTTAATATGTATTTCAAAAACAAAACTCGGTACTTTCAGATAGAGCTGATCACAAACTCCTTTCTAAATTCAATTCTTCTCCCTGTCTTAAATTTAGCTCTGATACAAGATAATAATCCCAAACACAAATCTTCAACAGAATGGCTGACAAATAATCAAATCAAGGTCTTGCAGACCCAAATTTGATTAAAAATGGACAAATATCTTCAAACCTTTGTTGATGTCAGAGACTGATAAAACCAAACAACCACAGAAGTCACGGAGGGGGTAGATACGTCATGATTAGGATAAAGAAAATGTACATTTTATGGAATTTATGCATCTATACTGTCTTGCTGAAAGTCAAAGTGTTTGAATGCCAATGAAGACATAACCATCTCTTGTGGACCTTTTTCTTACAGATCCCTGCCCCCCGGAGAACATCTGGGTGGAGGAGCCCACGGCTGGGAACTGCTCGGTGGTGTGGGAGGAAGTGCCGCTGGTGGAGCACTATGTGGCTTTCATAAAGAGGGACGACGGAACGGAGAAGTCCTGCAACACCACTGAAACCACCTGCAGTTTCTTTTGCATGTGTGGCTACACCTACCTCACCAGCGTGTTCCCCTACAACCAGGCCGGCACCAGCCTCTACGCACACGTCCACAACTACACCACCAGTGAGACGGCACCTCCCTTCTTCCGAGTCACACAATTACACAATGAATTATATAAACCATTGTTGCAGTATTAAGCACTTGATATCACGTCATCAAGGATTATACTGTGCACGACACCCTCAAATACACCCATTCTACTAAAGGATATTGACACTCTCCATTCTCCATTTCATGCTTTTTCTCTTTCTTTCTCTTGTTATTGTAGTCCTTGACTAAAGGTTTTTGGTGGCTTTCACTCAAATATTAGATCTATTAACTTCCCTGAAACATGCACCATGTGATTGTTTCAAAAATAGACCTAAAAGCACAAGTATGAGGCACACTGTGTTAGGTCTCGGTGTGCCATTTCGTTTACGCTAATGCTGTCTCATCAGTGATGGGACCGAGTCTTCGCGCTTGCGGTTGCATTTTCTGATCAGTCAAATGTTTGCTTCAGAAAATAATAGCTAACCTGACCGTGGTCAGACTGTTCTGATATGAATAAAAGCACAAAAAAAAGCGCTTTCATGTCAACCAGGTTGAAATCTGCATCCTAATTATTTTTTTTCTCCGCTCTTCTTCCCCCCTTTTATTCCACTTTTCAGTTCCTTGCTGTCCACAGAATGTCACTGTGAAGCTGGTTTCCACGGAGACCTTGGAGATCATGTGGTCGCCGGTAAAGGGGGCTGAGCTGTACGAGACCACCGCGGCGCAGACCAACGACGCCATCCACTGCAATGACACGTCGCCGGTGTGCGCGCTCTCGGACCTGAGGTGCAACACGGCCTACTCTGTGACCGTCAGGCCTTGCAGCGAGTTGAAAGGATGCAACCAGACGTGCCCCGCGCACACACACGAGACAGGTAGCGAAAAGATGCTGAAAACGGCCAGATAATTGTCATTGCTCTAATCCTTAAAGATTCAAGTCCATCAATGTGAAACACATCAAAGCTGTGAAGTGTGTATTTTTGAAAGGGGATAACTTCTTCCTGTGTCCTGTCTGCTCTGCTTCAGCTCCCTGCGCTCCAGAGATCCTGAACATGACCCAGACGAGTAACTCGACTTACAGAGTCATCATCACCACGCCTAATTCCCCCGACACAAACTACACGATCACGGCCACCGGTCGCAACGACAGACACGCGTGCCGGTCAAAGAACAGCTCCTGTGACCTCACCAGGCTGTCCTGCGGCTCCACCTACGAGGTCGCGGCAGTGGCCTCGACTCGAGTGGGAAGAGGTCTACCAGGATTCAGCAAAACCTTGGAAACGGGTACGACCGTATTGTTTGCGACTGCACTTTGAAGTCGTACCATTTAAAAAGTGCGCTGTTCAAACTTTAACAGATCGCAGACCACAGAAAATAGCACATTTGGGATCCTGGCTGTCATAAAATACTTATATTAAAAAGCTACGAGTAAAAAAAAATAGGTCAAAATCGCTAACCCTAACCCTTACTTAAAACTAATTCTATTATTTAAATAACTGAGGTTCCCCAAGAGATATTTAGGCTATGCTGATGACTTGGCACACAAAACCAAAAGCTCCAGCTGTAGAAAAGATTTTGTTTTCTGTTCTTTCCCCAAAGGTCCCTGCTGCCCCGCGACGGTCAATGTGACCCAGGTCACCCAGGCTATGACCAACGTGACGTGGTCGCCCGGCAGTGGGGCTCGCTCCTTCATCGCCACCCTCACATCTCCACGGGGACACGCCAAGTGTCACACTCTGGACGCCCACTGCCTGATGGGGTGCATCACCTGTGGCACGAACTACAGCGTCCAGCTGGAGGCCATCAGCAGCACGGGGCACAAGTCGGAGTGCAAATATCACGGATTCTCATCCAGTGAGCACAAATACGGACTTTACCTTTAGCTTCAGTCACAAGACCAAACACGAATAAGCCGTGAACTTGAACATATAAAATCTTTTGCCGTGTTGCAGGCGCCTGCTGTCCAACGGGGGTCAAGCTCTATCGCCGGACCAATAACTCCCTCAGGGTGTACTGGCGTTCTCCGGGCCCTCAGGCCCACAGCCACACCGTGGAGCTGTACGGAACGGGAGCCAACTACACCTGCATCGCGGCTGCGGGCAGCATGTACTGTGACATCCAAGAGGACACGTGTGGGGATGTGTACACGGTGGTGGCCGCGCCGGTGGGACAGCGCGGGGTCAAAGTTACCTTCTGCCAGCCCAGGACATACTCAGGTGGGTCGTACGGGAGCTCAGATATTCTTAACAAAATCTGATTCAGTTTGTGGGGATTACATAAGGGTCTCGGTACATTTTTTTATAAGCGTCTGTATCTTTACAGTTCCCTGTCCTGGAAGTAATGCCGGCATGGGTGAGTATCACTTATCAATTAAATGAGTCTTTTTTGTTAAATACTCAGTTTTTCATTTACTCGTCTTCAGTAACCACTAATCAACACTCAAAAATCTGTTAGCATAGTGTGAATACACTATAGGAAACAGCTAGCATGATTTTCCCATAATGGTTGTGTCCCTCCTAATAACTGACCTCCAGTCAACCACCATCATTATAAAACCTTCAATGATGCTGCCCAAATAACGAATTCAGTAGTTTTAACTTCTTATGGACTTTATATTACTCAGAATTTCCCTCTTGTCACTTGTTGGAGTGTTACTTACTGGAATGCCATCTTAAAAAACGTAACTACATGACAGGTTCGGTTTGGAGGATTTGCTGTTTCGTAACTTGTGGTGCTCTTTTACTGGTTCTCTGTTGTTGTTTTTCAAACTCATTGTTCATTATAAGTCTAGGAAAAACAGCTCTCTTCTTGTATCTCCAAACGTATACATTTTTGGAAAGAACATGATATTTGACAATAACAAAGAGCTTCTAAAAAAGAAACTGTACTTCTTTATCTTTTTCAAGTGATCTCCCGGGGAATACGAAGTGTGAAGTAACTGTGGTAAGTTTATTGTTCCTCACCACCTCCATCAAGATGACAGATGTTCCCTGATCACACAGAATCCACGTTAGGTAACAGCCTTAGAGAAACAGCATTTTGCTTTTGTTCACATTGTTCCGCTGATTGTAAAAGCAGTTTTCACGGGACCCATCCACTGTATCACCTCCCAAAATGAAGGCTATCCTGTGACAGCCTCGTCGGCAACCCTGAACTTGACGTACCTGATAGAACAATACGAGAGAATGTTTGAGTGGAACAAAAGTTTGAGGGAGAACACAGCTCTCTGCTTATACCTCTGGGACTTTCACTTCTTTTGGATAGCTTTTACCTTTGGGAATTGTTAGATACCTTTTTAAAAACCTCACGAGTAAGAATGAGGGAAACGTGACTCAGGTAAAGGTAGATAAAGATCTGCTGCAGGACAAATTTATTACAGGCACACTGATACTTGTGTGGTTTTTAATGTAAGAACGTTTTTATTTCTCTCTTGACTTACAGGGAACACCACGCATCACCCACACAGCAGATGACTGTGTTGACATCAGTGGAAAATATAAAGATTCAAGACAAAAACATGAAAGATTTCAGTGATTGTTCATTTGCAACAATAAAGCTAATTATTTTTTTCATTTTATATTTTAATTTTTGTCAACTAAAGCCATACAGTAGATGGTGAAAAGTAAATCTAGGGGGAAATGACTCCTTTGACATCACAATAACACAAAGCATTAATCTGTGTATTTGAATTTTTTCTGATTATGAAGGAATGCATTTTTGCTGTGAATCTAGTAATTACAGGCATATTTTTTCAATGACACTTGATGTAACCTCAACATTTTTTGCTTTTCGGTAGAAATGAAAAAATGTTTTTTTTAAAAATGGTGAAAAGAACCGAGACGTAAAAGTCTAAAAGAAATGTAAAGTCGTAACTTTGTTCTGGCCTGTGGGTTGAAAAGTATCAGCAGTTACCCTTACAAGACGAAACCAAGTATTAAGACCACTCCAAGTAGAACGCCTCCATTTGGCTGCAGTCTGACATGTCTCCTGATTGGTGACCTATGAAAGGGGGTCAGTGAAAGTGGAACAGCAGGAATAGATCTGGTCTGCCTGGAGCCATGCATGCCTGCCCTGTGGAAGATCCGTCTGATCATGTTGCTGGAGAAATATGCAGTGTTGCCCTCACTTTCACTGGATGTGCTTTCTGCTGCTTGACAGATGAAAACAATAAATCACTATGTTTTTTGCATCCCAACACGGTGTGCTGTGAGTCATTTCATGTGGGATTGAGGGGAGCTGGTTTGGATATGGGCTCAGTTCCTTGAAATATTCTAGGAACATATGAGTACGGTAAATTCCCTAAAATCCACTGGCTGAGTGGTCGCACAACTGACCTACAAGCTATAAGTATAACAAAAGATATTATTTGAATTGGAACATACAGTATATTGCTCTGAAATCCACATAGTCATATTTTCAGAACTAATTGTTCTTACCTAGATTGACATGTACATGTTTAATGTTGATAAGCCATCTGTTTAAGACTGGAAGTTTCAATGTTCAACAATTTTCAACTTAAAAATACCTTTGGTCCATTTAGTGAACTTACTCTATTCCAATTTAATATCGGTCTATTTCAGGTGAACTTTGGTTGATTTAAAATGAACTGTGGACAATTTCAGATGAATAATGGCCAATTTCAGATAGATTTTTCTCCAGAAGAAAAGATGATGTTTCTGGATCAGGTTCACAAATAGCTTCTTGTTTGCATGACATAGTTTCAACCTGCATTTGAGGAATAGTTAAATAAGTTAACATGCGATCATTTGTCGAACTGTTTTCTGAGAGATTTGAATTTAAATATTTTTAAAAAAAAATGAGACTAGAGCCATGAAGCTCAAAGACATCTAACACTGAGGTCTTCTCGGCAGTATGCAGTGGCGTGTGCTTATAAAACCTGTTTCCTACTAAACGTGTTTTTTAGTGTACACACTTGTCTGTATACATGATACTGTGATTATTGAGATTCCTCATATTTCCCTCAAGTTCTCTCAGGGGTGAATGACCAAAAAACAATTGCTTGGCCATATTTGTAAAACGTGCTTGTATTATCCTTACAGTTAAAGACAGATGTGTTCAGAGTTACTGTTTGGAAACTCACAATGGGCGCACATGCAGCTCTGTTAAACCGGTGGACCTTTTGTAAGCTGCTCTTTGTTAAGTAGGCAACAGGCTATCAAATTCATTTATGTAACAGCGCCAGCACAAAACAGCAAACATAGAAATGTGATGCTGAATCCCGAAACTGCACATTTTCACTGAAATCAAAGTGTTAAAATGATCTCCTATGTGTATCTTCTGTCAATACTTTTTTAATCTGGTCTGTTTGGATGAATGAATCAGTTTATACAATAGGAACCTCATCCTATGAAACTTTGTTTAAACAAAATACTGAGCATACTTGGTAATTAGAAATCTAAGTTGGTTATTAAAACAAATTATATTCTTTCTAAAGGACTTTTTTTTTCTACGTCCCCCTAGTCTGACAGATGGGCAACAGCTGCTCTGGATGCAGCCGAAAACACAACATAAAGACTGAGGTGTTCACCCAGGATTGGAAATCCCAAAACACTAATCTGATGGATTTAAGTTCACGTTGTAAAGGAAATCGATTAGTGAAATGTCGAAGAACTTGAAGTAAACAGTTCATATATAGAAACCTAGAATTTAAGCTATCAAATCTCTCCCAACCTGACATGTAGAGCCGATCTGCACTGGGAAAACTTGGAATTAATGCTTAATTTAATGCTTCATAAAGTATTGACGTGAGATACTAACGACTAGGGTTTACATACTTTTGCCAAACAGCACTTCAGCGCTCATCTAAATGTAAAAAGATTAGCTTTACTGCTTTTGTTGTCACTATTAAGATGTTTGTATTGTAGTGTTTTTCATCAAAGAGCGAGTCAGCATCTTCCGTTTTAGAAACATTCAGTATCCTTTAAAAGAATTGATGTGCATTTTCTTTATCTACTATTATAACTTATGTACAATTGACAGGAAGGTCAATACAACAGGAAACCAAAAAAAATGTAATCATGACAGAGCAGAGCCATTGGATACTTTGTGAAACGTCTAGTGACAAAGCATTTCCAAGAAAAATTACATCAATCCAGGATGGACTTTTCCAGGACTTGTGCAAATTCACCGTTGAGTCACAGTATATCCTACAAAACAGATCAGATTACTTCACAGCAGAGCATTTCTTTTCTTTTTTTTGAAAAAAAAGCAGAGGTAGGTATACACTGTTGATTCTGAGAGAGAGAGAAAGAGAGAGAGAGAGAGAGAGAGAGAGTTACCGCTCACAATGAAGGGTAGGATCATACACATGATCCTACCCTACCAAGTCTTAAATATGGATCATAGCTATGAGGGAATGTAATCAAATATTCCAGGTACATGGAGGAAATACAGTCTGAATGTAATAGGATGGGGACTTGAAAGTCACCTCCACCCAACTTACCCTATACTTTACTTTGTTTCCTTCTCATGATGACTAGGAGCCCATGGGCATCCACCTGTCCTCGTTTTAGGCCTGCTGATTGGTTCCCATGACACTGATCTACAATGCTGAGCCCGTAAAGGTTCCAGATGAGTTGCCGTGTACAGTACTAACAGATATTTGTAACATAGGAGAAGCCAAGCACATACAGTGGATATGATGTGGACATTTTATTCATCAGTTGTCCTTTTTTCTGTCCTACAGGTATTCAAATGTAGTAATCAACTTATTCATCATGAAATTTTATTTAACAATTGTCTTTAACAACTATCTCCTTTTTTTTAGATACATCATATCATTGTGGCTTCAGGTAAGTGCTCTTTTTTGTCTTTTGTTTTCTTTAGGGGCTGTATTAGTCATATATATTTAGGGATCAGCTATCTCGGTTATTTTTTTGTTGGTATCATATTGTCAAATTTGTGGAATAATAGATGGAGAAAAGTATGTGGACCCGATAGAATAACAAGAAATCACACATAGTGAGTAAAGGTTCATTCATGCATTTGTTAAGAGGAGGCCTTCCTGGAACTTCATCTACAATAATAAATCTGTCTGAAAAACATATCAGAAGGATTTAAACTGAATAAGGTTCAAAGTTTTGTAGATTGCACAATATGTACAATTCTGATTTCTAAATAATACTTGGCTCTCTACAGAAACCTTCACATTATGTTTGCAGTACCTCTTGCTCTTGTCCATCCCTCTCCAAATCAAGCTAAAATATCTTTTTTCTGTTATTTTAGGATGCACCATACTGTCTGCGACATCTCCCTCTGCATCCACGCTGAATATACAATGGAGCGACTACCCTGGAGCCTCGGTTTATGTTTTAGATTTGAGGGTTGTGAACTCAACAAGCATCGCCCCGCTGATGCTGATGCAGTCAGCTCCCAGCACCCAGAGGCTGGTGCAGGGGTTAAGACCCGGACATGTTTACCAAGTCACACTGAAAGCCTTTGAAATTTTGTATACTCCTTTGTGCACAGTTACTGAAATAGCCACGACAGGTAAGAAAACACTTCTTTTTTTAAAAACACAACCAGATAAATTGCCCAGTGGAATCCTTTTTGTCGTATAATGCTGAAGAATAACGCTGAGTTCTCCCTTTCACGTCTCCCACAGTTCCTGCAAAATCGGAAATCACGTTTTTGAGACCTATCTCAAGTACATCTATAAAGTTTGAGTGGTCCAGTGTGTTTGGGGCGGACAGCTACATCTTGTTTGTGGAGGAGCTTTTTACTTTCCCTGCAAAGATTTACAACCAGACCTTTGCAAACCTGAGCGGACAAGTGGATGACCTGAGGCCCTCTACTACTTACATCTGTTACGTTTACTCCTCCAACAGTGCAGGGAGAGGAGCCAAAGGCAACATCAGGACAGTTGTGACTTGTAAGTGCACACGCAGTGAAAAGCCCGTTTTGTTGCATCTTTTTCAGAAGATTTTCTTTAAAAACCTCCAGCAAGTCACCTACATACGGTTAATTCCTGCGTTTTCTATTCAAAGTGGTGCAGCCGCCAACTGGTGTGGCCATTCAAACAACGGGAAAGAGCACGGCCCGTGTGACATGGAACCCTGTAAACAAAATTCTCCTTTACCAAGTAACTGTGAGTGACAACGACAACCCCGAAAACAGGCCGGTCACAAGCAACACCACAGCCACATACATGGATATTGGTCACTTGGAGCCGTGCTCCTCTTACACAGTGGGAGTATCATCTGTCAACGTCTTCTTGGTCCCTGGAGAGGCCTCTAATATTACACACACTACCTCTCGTGAGTATCTTATGTTAATAACAATATTTGATCAGTTTTAAGCAATGCTTTGTTTCTGTCATTAAACTAAGAGTGCATTTTGTCATATGCAATCTATGCAATGTATTACTTAACACATTTATGTATATTAAGGCTTTTGAAATGAAAGTTTTGCTGATTAAGAAGAAAATCTGATAATTGTGTTATAATGGCTTAGTCTTTGACCTGTCAGGTGCTTTTGGTAATCTAACATTTTGTCTTTTTTTTACTTTTTCCTCAGCTATTAATGCTGTAACATCTATATCTGTGGACTATAGCTGCTCCAGTGGCATGGTGACAGTAACATGGGACTCGGTGTTCGGGGCCAATCTCTACAGGGCCACGGCTATCGACGGCACCGGGGCCTCCCTCAACTGTACATCGGCCTCCACCAGCTGCCAGATCACCATGCTGACCTGCGGTGAGAGGTACCAGGTCTACGTCACAGTCGTGTCCGATGACTGCGAGAGCACCTCCAACACCTCGGCCTCGTTTGAGACAGGTGAGACGAGCACGTGCACACGGCAGGGTCTAGCTCTTATGTGTTTTTGCCGCTCCTTTTACTGCTCACATTGCACATGGAAACACGCTTTTTTCTCGAACACAGACCTATGCACTTCTGGGCATACTCAATGTTTACCATGCACGCTCCCCATGGGAGTCTGATTAGGTTCTTCTCATGGTGTCCTATACTCTATTCTCATTTTGAGTGGCGTAACACACCCACTGATTAACCAAAGAAACCTGCCATCCAACACCAGTCTATGTAAAACATCTACACAATCTTTTGAAGACAGGGAGTTATCTCAAAGGTCAGAGACATTAATACTCTGAAAAGGTAAAAGGTGAAGAGGGTGTGCCAGGGGAATTGATCTAAAACCTTGAAACCATGCTGTGATGAAGTCATGAATGATATTCAAACAAAAAGGGCATAAGCTTTGCTACGTTTTTCTCTCCCCTCATAATTGTGAACATATTCACTGCCAACTTTTCCTCCCAAATCCCCTCCGGTAACTTTGCTGTTATTCATTTCTCCTTCACATCGACCACTAGTCCCCTGTGCTCCGGCTTATCCAAAGACCGAATATGACTGCTCCTCCAACGTGATTGTCTTTAACTGGCAACACACCAACAACACCAACTACTACGTTGCCACGGCTGTGGACAAAACGGGCTCCGTAACCGAGTGCAGGACGACGGACTCCTCGTGCTTCTTCACTAATACTGGCTGTGGTCAGCACTACACGTACAGGGTGTACGCAGTGAGCTCTGAATGCAACAGCAGAGTCAGTGAGCCCGAGTTTGTCCGAACCTGTGAGTAGGAAATCACTCATTAAAAAAGAAAAGCATTCTTCAATTTAATTTGTATCTTTTAAAGGTGTAGTCTTCATATCAATCATATTCTCTTTGACTTGTAGTCATAAATGTTGACTAAACCACCGATCCATTTTCCTCACCAAGCTCCTTGCCAACCAACAAACGTAAAGACAGCGGCGGAGTGTCAGTCTGACATGCTCATCACAACGTGGGACTCCTCAGAGGGAGCCCTGTCATACACAGTAGAAGCACAAGGGAACAACGGGGAAACCTACAACTGCTCCTCGGCCACCAACAGCTGTGCGATTCCCAGTTTGCCTTGCGGTGAACACCTCAGCGTGTGGATCATCGCCTCCAATGACAACTGCTCCACAGGCAGGGTGTTGGGAGATGCTGCCCAGACCGGTACGTATGAAGAGCAGCGTGACCTCACAGCTTGCCCAGAGAGCAGGCGCACTTCTTTGTTATAACCCACTAGGTTTTCCCTCCTGTCTGCAGTTCCTTGTACGCCCTCTAACGTCTCAGTGTCAGAGGAATGCAGACAAAATTCTGCAGAGATCACGTGGTTGAGGAGCCACGGAGCTATATTCTTCGTAGCTGTTGCTGAAGATGCAAATGGAAACTCATACAGCTGCCAAACTCTGGGCACCAGCTGTTTGATTGAAGGCCTGAAATGCGGCCAGAACTACACAGCCAGAGTTCTTGGCTCTAATTTTCAGTGCAACAGCACCGAAAGTCAGCCGGTTACATTTGTGACGGGTAGGTGATTCGATTACAGAGGAAAAATGTAGAAAAGAAAATTCTAGAAGCAACATTTCACCAGAGGCACTATAAACTGATTCCACCGCTGCTTCTCCAGCTCCTTGTCCTCCAACCAACATCGAGGCGTTCAGAGACTGTGATGCCAATCATGCTCTGATAGTGTGGCAGAACCATCAGACATCGGGCACGTACACGTACACCGCAACACTGGAGGATCAGGATGGGGTACGGCTCACCTGTACCAGCAACACAGTCAACAACTGCAAAATCAGCCCGCTGCCCTGTGGACGGAACTTCAACGTCACAGTCGCCCGCAGTGACGGAAAGTGTCAGTCCATCTCGACACCTACTAGCATGGACTCAGGTAACATCAGTTAATTTGCCGTTTAAAAACTGTTTCCAAAGCACCATCATCAAACAAGAATCGATCATTACAAATTAGATAATGAATTAGAATTCCAAGCAAACATGTGACAGAGAGGCACGACCAAATATTTTAGTCAGTCCCACAGAAATGCAGACGCCATATCAGGGAGAGCAGCTGACATACAAAATTGCCAGATCAAATGTAAATACTCAGCAAGGTAGAATTAGGATTCTGAAATGTCTGCAGAGAGTATGCAGACGCATAGGTAGATGTGACAGATGCAGTATATGATCTGATGATGTTGATAGAGAAGTCCAGATGGGGACAGAAGGAGCTGTATTGGATTTTTTTAGATGTAGAGGAATCATATGAGAGTGCCATGTGAGGGACTGAGCTACTGCATGAGGAAGTTTGAAATATCTGACAAATGTAAGAGGTTTTGGACATATATAATAACTGTAATATGGTGCTGAGGTTTGCTGTATGTATGACAAAGCGGAGGGACTGTAACAACGATCAGCCTGGAGCCCCTTTCTTCTTCGACTTGGAGATGCACAGGCTGCCAGATGAGGTTAGACAGGCCTCTCCATAGACCTTGGTGTTCACATACAGGGGTTGGACAATGAAACTGAAACACCTGGTTTTGGACCACAATACTTCATTAGTATGGTGTAGGGCCTCCTTTTGCGGCCAATACAGCATCAATTTGTCTTGGGAATGACATATACAAGTCCTGCACAGTTGTCAGAGGGATTTTAAGCCATTCTTCTTGCAGGTTAGTGGCCAGGTCACGACGTGATGCTGGTGGAGGAAAATGTTTCCTGACTCGCTCCTCCAAAACACCCCAAAGTGGCTCAATAATATTTAGATCTGGTGACTGTGCAGGCCATGGGAGATGTTCAACTTCACTTTCATGTGCATCAAACCAATCTTTCACCAGTCTTGCTGTGTGTATTGGTGCATTTTCATCCTGATACACGGCACCTCCTTCAGGATACAATGTTTGAACCATTGGATGCACATGGTCCTCCAGAATGGTTCGGTAGTCCTTGGCAGTGACGCGCCCATCTAGCACAAGTATGGGGCCAAGGGAATGCCATGATACGGCAGCCCAAACCATCACTGATCCACCCCCATGCTTCACTCTGGGCATGCACCAGTCTGGGTGGTACGCTTCTTTGGGGCTTCTCCACACCGTAACTCTCCCGGATGTGGGGAAAAACAGTAAAGGCGGACTCATCAGAGAACAATACATGTTTCACATTGTCCACATCCCAAGTTTTGCGCTCCTTGCACCACTGAAACCGACGTTTGGCATTGGCACGGGTGACCAAAGGTTTGGCTATAGCAGCCCAGCCGTGTATATTGACCCGGTGGAGCTCCCGACGGACAGTTTTGGTGGAAACAGGAGAGTTGATGTGCACATTCAATTCTGCTGTGATTTGGGCAGCCGTGGTTTTATGTTTTTTGGATACAATCTGGGTTAGCACCCGAACATCCTCTTGCGTCCACCGTTAATCCTGTTGGATATGGTTCGTCCTTCTTGGTGGTATGCTGACATTACCCTGGATACCGTGGCTCTTGATACATCACAAAGACTTGCTGTCTTGGTCACAGATGCGCCAGCAAGACGTGCACCAACAATTGGTCCTCTTTTGAACTCTGCTATGTCACCCATAATGTTGTGTGCATTGCAATATTTTGAGCAAAACTGTGCTCTTACCATGCTAACTGGACCTTCAGAGTCTGCTCTTACTGGTTCAATGTGCAATTGAAGAAGATTGGCCACCAGGCTGGTCCAATTTAGCCATAAAACCTCCCACACTAAAATGAGAGGTGTTTCAGTTTCATTGTCCAACCCCTGTACAACAGTCTGTAATGAGATCAGGGAGCAGGTGGATGAAAAACCTGGAAAGAGGACGAAAGAAAGTTAGCTACAGCAGGACAGAGAGTGTGAATAAGACCCGAGAGGATGGTTAGTTTCTCACTGAGGAAAAGACAGGAGGAAGAGATGAAATAGCAGAACTGGGGAGAATGGTTTGGATCAGAAATAAGCACAACTTCTGAAAGGCACAGCAAAAAAAATGCATGACGCAAAAGTAATGAACCTTCTAAGCTGAGTCACAGAACAAACAGATTCAATTATGAAAGACAAACAATGACATATACCTTCCTGTTTTAGTTCCCTGTGGTCCTGAGGATGTGAGAGCCAGTATGAGCTGCGGGACTGACAAGCTGCTGGTCACCTGGAATGTCTCCATCCCTGCGGAGAACTACACAACCATCATCTCCAGAGGGATGGGCAACCCGACCTACTGCAACTCCACAGAGACCCGGTGCACTGCGGGAGGACTGGCCTGTGGGAGCACCTACACGGTGACCGTGCTGTCGGTGACCGGGACGTGTTTCAGCATGCCGAGTGCAGATGTCACCGTTCAAACAAGTGAGGGCTGCAGACGCAGTGGTCGGATGTGGAGCTTCTTCAGATGTATTGTTAGCCCGATTCTTTAGTTGGAAACCTGAGAACAAACCAGAGTAGATCAAAAGTTTAAAAATGACATTTATTGGGTCACAGGCAAAGTATGTCAGCGCTGGGCTCTTCACAAACAAAAACCTCTCTCTGGGTCTCAGTCGGCAAAGAGCCCCGAACTCTGTGTGTCATGGGTATTTGGGCCCACCCCTCAAAAGGACTGGACACGACTGAGTGCTTATTGGCCAGTTATTTACTAAACCTAACCCTGACATGAACTGGCCAGGTCCTAATTAATGCAGATAACCTTGGAATGTGGTAACAAAGTTTGTGTGTGTATGTGTGTGTGTTGACCTAATGACGTGTGTCTAAAGAGAGTAAGAGAGGAAAAAAGAATCTGTGGTTACAGCCAGAGAATTTAACACAAAAGTATAGTTCGAAAAGGAGTAAGACAATCAGTAATTTACATAGATTGTGTGATAGCATACAATGTTAAAGTGAGTAATTATAGCCAAATTTTAACAGTATCCTCACGCGTCTGCTTCGTCTCTGTTTCCCCTCCAGTGCCGTGTCCTCCCACCAACGTCACGGCTGTGCACGCGTGCGCCCCACATCCCGTTCAGGTGTCCTGGGCCGCCGCCAGCAACGCCAAACACTACAGCGCTGTAGCCCTGAGTCCCCGAGGTCACAGGTCGGAGTGCGCCACCAATGAGACGCTGTGCAGCCTGGCTGAGCTGCTGTGCGGGGAGGTTTACAACATCAGTGTCTCTGCAGCTGATGACAACTGCACGGGTCAAATGAGCAGCCCCCTCTCCCTGAAAACTGGTAAGAAGGCACAGAAGAAGCCTTGGCCAATGGCTTAGTCTGGTCACTGTGTGCTTCAAAACATGTCTTATTCCAGATTATGAATAGCAAAATCAGGTTTTATGTGTTTCCCTCTCCAGAGCCGTGCGCCCCGTCTAATGTGAGCAGTCGGGTGATGTGCAGCGCTGGACAGGCCCAGGTGTCCTGGGCCCCCAGTGCCAATGCGGTGGGCTACGTTTTGGAAGCCATCGGCGACCGTCAGAACCTCACCTGCAGCAGCTCCACCTCCAACTGCACGCTGAGCGGCCTTGTCTGTGGCCAGGCCTACGACCTTATGGTGTCTGCCACTGACGGCACTTGTGTCAGCGACTACAGCCTTCCATTCAGGCAGGACCAAGGTACAGGGAGAGGGCACATATTCTGGGCTCTTACTAAATCTATCCTTGAATTCGGATTCTGGTCCTAATTTGACGGTCATATGCTTTCCGTGCAAATATTTAACTATGGTTATGCAACCCTGTTCTTCTGCTTTCTGGTTGCATAAAAGGTTGACTCCAAAGTAAGATGTATATGTCACATGATATATGCTGTTTCTTTATAAATTCAGCTTTCAGATCAAGAACTTTCCTTTGCTATTTTCTGTGTAGAAATTCAAAACCATTAGATAAGTACTTTTACTCAAGTAAAGGTGTTCTTTATTCACTACAAGGAAAGAAAAATTCATCAAATATAAGCATCCTTTGGCACCTTTGTAACTCTACTGAACAAGCAAAACAACAAGTGGTATCACACTTTTTTTAATGTTTTTAAAAAAAAATTAACAGAACTAATGCTGACTGCTATGTCACAATTGAATTTGGAATTTTTTCTTCAATTCACTTAAGATATTCGCCTTAACCGTCTCTGAATTTCATGTGTATTTTTAACTGTCTTATTCTCTATGTAGTGAGTGTGTGTGTCTGAAGTGTAGCTGTTTATTCAGACGTGATAGAAGTCTTATCCATTTCAATGCCTTTCCTAACTAATTTTACGATGTTCTGTCCCTGTCAGTCCCTTGTGCTCCACAGAACGTCTCTACGCAGCTTCAGTGTGGCTCCAGTGATGTGACGGTCAGCTGGATCTCTTCTGCTCTGCCTCTCAACTACAGCGTCACGGCTGTGCTGGCAGGTGGAAACATGAGCTCGGTCACCTGCCACACCAGCCACGCCAGCTGTGTTTTCAGTGGCCTTCAGTGTGGCCAGGTGTACAACGTCTCTGTTGCGGCTTCCTCTGGCAGCTGCAGCGGACCACACAGCCTTTCACAGACCGTTCACACAGGTAGTGAGAATGCTGGTGTCTCGGGTGTGTGATAATGTGCACGAGATGCATTTTGTGACGGGATTTTGTCTGTTAGCCCGATTCTTTAGTTGGAAACCTGACAACAAACCAGAGTAGATCAAAAGTTATTTATTAGATCTGGGTGTGACGGGCATTATCTCCTTGGCTCGGTCCGCCTCCTCAAAGGAGGACTGGACAGAACCAAGTCCTATTGGCTAATTACCTCGGGTCGTGAACAGGCCAGGTCCTAATTCATGCAGATGACATTGGAATGTGGTAACAAATGGTGTGTGTTTGTATTGACCTAAAGGTGTGGATCTAATGCAACAGAGAAAGAAAAAGAGAGTAAAGGCAAAGAGAGAAAAAAGAGTCTGTGGACACAGCCAGAGACTTTAACACAAAATATAGTTATAAAGGGAATAAGACAATCAGTCATTTACATGGATCATGTTATAGCATATTATGCTAAAGTGAGTAATAATAAACAGATTCTAACATGTCTCAACAGCACCGTGCTCTCCTCAGAGCTTAACTGCTCTCAGAGACTGTGGCACAAATTCTCTCTTGGCCTCCTGGGAGGCCTCTCCTGGTACCTCCACCTATTTGGCGACAGTGACAGGGCCAGATGGCTTCTCTGAAACCTGCTCCACCTCAAATACTACATGCTCTTTCTCTGGCCTGCGGTGCGCCAGTCAGTACAACATCTCAGTAGCTTCCACGGACAGCCTCTGCTCGAGCACTCCCATTCAAACCGTCACGCAGACAGGTGGGGACTCATCCTCTGTGTTATTTCAAATCTGTTTTACTGTTTTGAACCATGTAGTGCGACAGCTGGGCTAAATCTGCCCGTTTCCGCAGGTCCATGCAGCCCGGCGAATCTGACCAGCGTCCTCCAGTGCGGCTCGGACGCGGCCACCTTGTCCTGGACGGCTGCCGCCGGGGCTATGGCCTACACTGTGCTCGCCCGGGAGAACGGCTCTGCCCGCTACGCCTCCTGTCGAAGCAACACCACTTCCTGCCAGCTGGACCGACTGCAGTGCGGGAAGATTTACAACCTGACTGTGACGGCTGAGGATCACAGCTGTAACGGCAGCGGAGCAGCCGGCGGCGTCCTGATGACAGGTAGAAATGTAGACCGGAAGAAGGAACAAACGTCCAGTCCTACAGACTTTTTTAACAGTCGTACTGATCCTTGTCTCCTCCTGTCTCCCTCTCAGCACCATGTGCTCCCTCGGTTCAGAGCAGCACTCTGGTCTGCGGGGACAGCTCCTCTCTTCTGTCCTGGACCCCAGTTATGGACGCCACAGGTTACGTAGTTAACGCGACGGCCTCCGGCGGGCACGCCGTTTCGTGCAGCTCGGTCACGGCCTCGTGCAGCCTGAGAGATCTCCAGTGTGGTCAGACCTACGTGGCCACAGTCACTGCTCAAGGGAGCGAGTGTGACAGCGCACCCGGACCCAGCACCAACATAACCACCGGTGTGTGTGTGTGTGATTAGAGTGTGGTTGTGATGACTATGTCATGCCTGCTCCGCTTCACAATGACATATTGAAAATACTTCTCCATTTGCTTTCAGCTCCCTGTCCTCCAGCGGTCATAACCAAACAGTACACCTGCAGTGCCAGTACAGCACTGGTCAGTTGGTCTGACCCCGCGGGTGGCCTCAGCTTCACGGCTACGTTAGCTGGATCTCGCTACGAACACAGCTGCCACACTACAAACACCACGTGTTCGTTTCAAAATCTTCCCTGCGGGGTGGATTTAAACGTGACGGTTCAAGCCCACGGGGCGGAGTGCAACAGCAGCCTCAGTCCCAGCGAATCCTTTCAAACAGGTGATCACAAAATGGACGATAACACCGCCATCGCACACCAAAATCTGAAAACCAAAACAAGTTAATTTCATCATGGAGCAGAACCAGCTGCTTCACCATCTCTCACATCCCTCCACACACTGTGTGGATGATGACGTGTAATTTAATGATAGGGTTTTTTCTTTATGCTAACAATGAATCATGTAATCCCTTGTGCTTGTTTGTGACTGCACTCTTCTCCTTTTTGTTTCTTCCATTCTCCTCTCCAGTCCCATGTGCCCCAAAAAATGTGAGCACCGCCATGCTGTGCTCCAACCACTCGGCCCTGGTGACGTGGACGGGAAGCCACGGCGCCACTGGGTACAACGTCACGGTGACCGGCCAGGATGGGCACGCGCACCACTGTCACACCAGCTCCACCAGCTGCCAAATCCCTGACGTCCACTGCGGGGAAACGTACAGCGTCACAGCCACACCGTACTCTCAGACGTGTGCCGGATCCCCGAGCACGACTCACAGCTTCACAGCAGGTGGAGAAAAGGCCCGGCGTTAAAATTCCTCGTCCATCTCAGCTCAGAACGGCAGTTTTTAAAAAAAAAATTTGTCTTTGCGTCTCAGGTCTGTGCGCCCCCGTTAACGTGACTGCGTCTCCATCCTGTGAGCACAGCGCCGTCTCTTGGTCCCATGTGACGGGGGCTGAAATGTACATAGCAACAGCAACTGCAGACGATGGACACAACCATACTTGCAGCTCAAATGATTCAAACTCGTGCAATTTCACTGACCTCCACTGTGGGGAGGCCTACGCTGTGGCAGTTGTGACAGTGTTTGAAGGCTGCTGGAGCGAGACGAGCTCAGCAGTGCAACTGAGAGCAGGTGAGATAAAACTAAAGGGAGCAGACTGTGGGTCTTCAGACAGCTTTAATCCAAAAATGACGTCATTAAACGTTTTTTAACTTTTTTTTTTAAATTTCCTATAGCTCTATGTCCCCCTGAGAACTTGACTGGCCACGTCAGCTGTGACACTAACATGCTGACCCTCACGTGGAGTCCAGTGACGGGAGCTGATTACCTTTTGCAGTGGGAAAGGATAGGTGACACGGAGCCTGCTTCACAGTCCAAAACCTCCAACACTTCACACACTTTGTCCGACCTGCTGTGCGGAGAAAGATATGCTTTCCGCATTGCAGCTCAGGAAGGCAACTGCAGCAGCAGCTACAGCTCGCCCATAGAAATGAGCACAGGTAGGGTGTGTTTCTATAGAAACGGCAAATGAATTAAGTGACGGCCGTGTGTAAAGAAAGTGTGCAAAAATGACTGAGACATTGGCTTTTCCTTTCAGCTCCTTGTCCGCCCACAAACTTAACTGCTCGTGTGGACTGTGGGACCAACAATGGAAATTTCTCCTGGGCTGAAAGCAGCGGAGCAGGTTTTTACACCGTTGAGGTGACCGGGGAGCACGGCCACGTGGCGTCCTGCTCCTCTAATGACACTTCCTGCGCAGTGAAACTTCACTGTGGCCGCTCATACTCCGCAACGCTGGTGGCTTCCACCGACAGCTGCAACAGCAGCAGGCACACTGACATTGTGTTTGACTCCGGTAAGATACCAGAAATGTGCAGAACGCATAGCATAGTTTCCACGGGACCAAACCCTAGCGCTGGGATTTAGAATTATATAATGTAACTAGGTCTTCCTATTGATGTCAATTTGGTTCTAGTCTGGAAAAGGGCAAGAAATAGTCTTTAATTGAATAAAACTTTCCATTTGCTTCCAAAAAAGAACCAATCCTGAGTATGAATACACAACATTTATTAGAAAAATTTTGAAGAAAAACATTTGTTCAAGCATCAAACAAAGACAGTCTCAGTGAGATGATTAAGAGCGTTTACCAGACATGCAGAACAGGTCATCCAACCATGGTTAACGACTGATTGTACTAGTTGAGAAGATCAATGAATGATTACTAAGCAACTTATTTAATGGTCTGCTAAACTCTCTGCCACAGCGCCCTGCTTACCAGATGATGTAATGGCTGAGCTACAGTGTAGCACCAACGTAATGACCGTGAACTGGACACAGACCTCAGGCTCAGATGAGTATACCGCCTGGGCCATCAGCACAGACGGACACAGAGCCTCCTGCAACTCAACATCCAACCACTGCTCCATCCGTGACCTGAGCTGTGGGAAGGTGTACGAGGTGGTGGTCACCTCCTCCTCCGTTCACTGCGAAATCATCGCTGGCTCTGACTACAAAGTTCAGTCCGGTAAGGGAAGTCCTCAGGTTTGAAATAACACGTGTTGAAGAACTAATACCGATTCTGAGCTGAAACTGTCTTCAACCCCTCGTAGCTCCTTGTCCACCTGAAAACACGACCGTGGAGCAGAACTGCAGCTCCAACATGATGACCGTGAAGTGGCACCATGTCAGCGCAGCTCAGAACTACACTGTCAAAGCCACCTCCGCTGCAGGTGTCAACGCTACCTGTGACTCGGACTCAGACGCCAGCTGCTCCTTCCTGGACTTGAGCTGTGGCCAGCTCTACACTTTCACTGTGACGGGACACACTAACGTGTGTGTGAGCGACATGAGCACTCCCGTAGAGACACTCACCGGTAAGGTAGCAAAGTTCTCTTTGATAACTGCTTCCTAAAGAAATTGGTTTTCAGGCAGTTTGATGTTTTGTGTATGGGAATTTGGCCAATGACATAACATTGGCATTTGTGTATCAACACAAAATACAAATGATTAATTCTTAACCCTATAATGCCAAATGTATCATATTTGATACATACAGTTTCTGAAATGTTTTGCGTCTGACACCTTTTGCATAATTCAATGGTAAAAACTTTGCTCAAAATCCTATTGTACACAATCACATAAACCTGATAACAGGGGGCATAAGACTACACAAAAAATAATCTTGACTTATCGTATAGTAATAAATTATTAATATTAAACATTTATTTCAGTTTTTTCTGTTTACATATTTTGTTAAAAGGCCAAATAAAGACTTCAAACCAAAAAAAGAATAACTTTCTGTTTTGTTTTATTCTTGGATCAGGCTTTAAAGGGTTAATATACCATTGTTATGTTATATACAGTTTATCTCTTGGCAAGAAACCAAAGAGCAGCTACTAATATAGCCAGAAAACCCAAACGGCCTCTTTGCGTACTCTTACATCCGTCTTCATCCCTCTCTTTCCGTCTACCTCTCTCCTTTTCCAGCACCATGTCCTCCATCCAGTGTGTCGGCTGAACTGAACTGTTCCACACACAGCGCTCTGGTGAGCTGGAGCCACGCCGCAGCGGCAGCTGCAAACACGGCCTACAGCGTCCAGGCAACCTCCTCCAGTGGACACAACTCGTCCTGCAGTGACCTGGGCACGTCCTGTTACCTGAACGACCTGGTTTGTGGACAAGAGTACTCGGTATTTGTGGAGGCGATCCACGCCGGCTGTCCAGGTCCTGTCAGTGCTCCGACCACTCTCAACACAGGTCTGCGTCACTCGAACCCCTCGCACACCAGATTGGAGGAACCGAAATTCCATGACTAAAGACGATTAATTTTGTCTCGTTTTAGAACCCTGTGTTCCCGTAAACGTGTCTGTTCACTACAACATGAGCACAGCTTGGGTGCTGTGGGGTGCAGCAGAGGGGGCCGGCTCATATTTTGCTCGGGCTGTGACGGGCCAGGGCCTGATGGCTACCTGCAACACCAGTGACATCGGCTGCTTCCTGAATGGCCTTCAGTGTGGTCAGGCTTACAACGTCACCGTGATGGCCAAAAACCTGGCCTGTGACAGCGAGATCTCTGAAACCTCCAACCTCCTAACAGGTCTGTTCACAGGTTGGGAAGAAAACAGTGTACAGTGATGGTATTATATGTAATATATATATTGTGTATATTATTGTTGTTTTGATATGTTTATATAAATGGGGAAAGACAATAAGCTAGATAGATAGATAGATAGATAGATAGATAGATAGATAGATAGATAGATAGATAGATAGATAGATAGATA